GAAGGGACAGTGTTACGATAGCGGAGTTTCTAGAATTATCGGGGAACCCCGCGAAAGTCCGAGTATTTGCTAGAAGCCCTCTTTTTTAGATATATTGTTTATTTGTTTGAGCGTTGTAAGTTCCGCAGACATACCGCTGTGCCACTGGGGGCTTTTTAGTATATAAGCCTGGCAAAGAAGAGATAGATAGATAATTCAGTCAAGCGAACAGTGGGCACCGTAAGTAAAGTGTGTGACTCACCGTTATTTATAGCGTGTGTTACAAAAGTTATTAAGTGTATTACAATGTTTGTATCGAGAAAGAATAAACTAGTTTTAATCAAGAAGAGACTTGTATCGGTGAAGTCACTCAGAAATATTTTTTACCGGAAATTATCAAAGAAGCACATAAGCAACAGTCCTATCTATAATGTATTATATTGTATAATGACACTAGATCTGAGGCCTCTAATAAAGGTAATAAAGGTATTCCTGATAAACTCCTCCTTAATTTACTCAGCGGTAACCTCTTTGAAGTTACAATCTTTGGCAAGACATTTAAGAGCCTAGAGGAATTTGTCTATATCCACATCAGGCTTTTTGTGACGAGTTGATATAACATGGCGAGCTAGGGTTTTGTTTGTGGGCTTCACATGGGCGTCCTTCAAGATAGAAATAGCCTCATTGTAATCAATGCAATCCTCGATCAGTTCATAAACGTTTGTCCCCACATTCATAAATAGACATTCTAGTTTATCAGGTTGACTATCCTCGATGGTTGTTAAGAAATAATAAAAATTTCGGTACCACAATTTCCAATGTTTAGTGCTATGAGTCACATAATGAGCAAACTTTTTTGGCCGAATAACTTTATCCATTTGATTCAATAAATTGTTATGTTACAACTGTTAATATCGAAATCACAAACAAGGCTTTATTCAATCAAAATGAGACATCTAAATAAAGAAACAAACAAAACTCAATCAAATTACAGAAATAAAGAAATCAGAAAATACATATAGAAAATAAAATGCGTAGTTCGAGCACTACAATTTCTTTATGTATACTTGCATAGAGGCGCATATCTAGCGTAAGCGTTGTACCAAAATTAAAACAAAATCTTAGGATAAGATTTAATATAACTATATATGTGACACACTCTCCCTTCTTCATACTATATGCGCAGACGAAACGCCATCTATTCGTTCCAAAGATTGGAAATAGGTTTAATAGTGTCTTATCAGTTGTGATAACATCGTATTCGTAACTTGTTTTATAGTTATTAGAGCCTTTTCCTGATCCACTTGAATACACCAAAGAATCTAAGAACAGCAGTAACTGTTCCATAATATTGTGTAGATAATTTAACAGAAGCGATAATTATTCGAAAACGAAAATGGCTTGTGGTTAGTAATAATATTAATAATACTTAATAGTAAAAATACTATTACTAATACTACTAGTATTCTTAATTTAGGTAATAATGTAGTAGTAATAACTAATATGTAGTAATACAGTACTATATATATTACTACTATTACTAGTACTTAATATACCACTAGCGTTAGAATAGAAAAGTGATAGAATCTTACCATTGTGTTTTAAAAGTTGTGGGTTAAATTGCTGATTACTTGTTATTTACATAGACATGTAATGATGTATATATATATTACTTAGTAATAGTAGTAACAATATTTTCGATCTTATTTTTAGTGTTATATAAAATTTGACTAAAAATAACGTTTTAGTAGAACATATACTATAGATTCTATGTTCCAAAATCAATAGTAGTTATTAGTACAGTACTAATGGGGAGAATAGAGTGGTGAACTACTTCAAATTTCAGTGTAAAAATGCCAGTAATGACTGTAAACTTTCTGTTTGTTATGTTGAACAGACTGAAAACGAATGTGTTCAAAAAAATATAGTGTTTCACAAAAACCTATGCCAAAAATAAAGATGGAAGCTAGAATAGTGATGAACTATTAAGAAAATTGAATTTAGTGATTGAATGAGCAGTGTGGAGGTAGTAGAAGCAAACAGAAATGTTAAAAGTATTATTCTAAAGAGCAAGGAGTAATATTGCAGTGTGTCAACTCTCAGGTGTGTTGCATTCTGCTTTATTGCATACTGTCTTTAGTAGGGCTCCAACCTAATATTTCACTGGATCACCTTTTATAATAACCTGAACTTAGTGTCACATTGGCTGCATAAAATGCTGGAAAGTGTCTTGTTTGATTGTAGTACACTTACAAGAAATATGATCTGCAGTTGGTACTTAAGGTTATGGTGGAGAATACGATGCTCAAATTCATCCCAAAGATGCTCAGTTAGATCAAGATCCAGTGGTTGTACTTGTAAAGAAAGATATGTGCATCACTATCATGATCTTTCAACCAATTAGAACAATAAGCATGGCAGATTGTTGTATTATCATTTTGGAAGAGCCCTTACCCACCAGGGTGAAAATGCAGCATTTCAGAGTGAACATGGTAAATAACATTGTTTATGTACATTTGATGTTATTCTCTGTTCTAAAGGAACAAATAACCAGCACTGTGCACTTTTGGAACATCAAAAGAAGAGTTAAGTGCCTCATATGGTGTTATCCATAATTTTACTTTACCATCATTACAGAAGAGGCTGACAAATATTCATCATTAAATGCTTCAATTATTCATTGCCCACTATTAAACTGCAGTTTCATCACCACTGAAACAATGCTTTTGTGTTTGATTTTGAGATAATCTGTTTTTGGATTAGTTATTGACTGCCATATGGCAGTTTGTTTAGTCCTTTGCCTAATATATAGGAAGATATTCAAATCCTACTATTGTTAAAGAATTAGGTCAACTGGGATGTAGTATAACATCTGTTTATACTTTATGAATTTGTTCAATCATCTTTCATTTTTTCAGTTATATCCAACAGCCCATCATACAATTAAAATAGCAAAGTCCCTTCTAGATGGGCTTCATTCAGTTATCAAATTTGTTTGGAAGTCATTTTTTATAAACTAACCATGACATGGCTGTGTCCCTGTACTTTAAGGGAACAAGCAGTCATGTGACTCATTACATGGTCAATCTGTATGCATGTGCAAATGTATGTCTGGGGACTTCTAGTAAAGTGATTATGTAGTATAATGTATATATGTGTGTAGTGTTTTATGAACATCAGTTTATTAGTTTATCAAGCAAGGTCATATATTCTGAAGATAAGTTTATATTACAAAGTGCAGTTTGTATTACATATAGTAAAGTTTCATTTGGAATTGAAATGGCTTGTTCTGAAACCAGAGACTTACCTCTCTGCAAAAAGTAGCTATTTCTCACACATCTGTCTTTGAGATTTTGTACATGCCACTAGCCTTGAGCTATCTCCCATCTAAGATATGTTATAACGTGATCTGTGCTAGTACATGATTTAATCATCATGCAGCAATAGCTTTCCACCAATAGGAAGATAACACATCCTACATGCGAGGTAGATCCTCATAAGTACTTGCACTCAAATTTAACTTAATTATTATTCTCGGCATTGTTTTAATTTATGTGTTTCCTGATTTTTAAAATTAATCAACTTCAAACCCTACACTGTGATCCCAATAGTTTTTCTGGGATCTACAGTCAGTCCTATTCAATACTTTGGCTAGTGTTTAGTCTTCTGCCTTGTCCCTGCTTACTTTGTTCCTCTGATGTTAGTACTTTCTGCACTTTATTTCTCTTCTCACTACTGTTTGTCGTCCCCATTCACATTCTTACTCATCTGGCTCTATTTCTTTACCCTGAAGACTTTGGGGGTGTTCCTAAAACCAGTCTTTCCTTTTCTCCTTTATTTCTCATCTCTCACAACCTTTTGAGTCCACTCCCTTTCCTTGAACCCCTCTTCTCTCTTTCTTTTTCCATTTCTCACCCTCTATCACTCTTGCTATCACTCCTCCCATTAAGTTGGCTGTTGCACATCTTGTCAATGACTCCCTCCTTTTATATCTAGTCAGGTCATGTCCCATAAGGGTATGTCTGGTTCTGTTGGCATTCTTTTGGACCCCTTTTGTGGCCAATTGGTGGGTCATTCAAGTTCTTACATATGACCTTTCTCTTCACTTTTTGTCTCTTCTTTCTCTGTCCTTTTTCCTGTTTCATTTCTGCCTCTTTCCAATTCTCAGCATTATCTGCATCTCAAGGCCATGGTATTGGATCTTTTGGACATGAAAATGATCAAGAGGATCCTTTGCCCTTCTCCAGGGCTTACTTCTCATCTTTTTGTTGTTCCTAAAAAAGACCTGGAACTAGCATACCGTCATCAACCTTTCTTCTTTCAACCACTGTCTGGTGTTTCCTTGGTTCAAAATGAAGTGATATCTCCCTCTCCATTGGTCCTTTTTGTTGGACTATGGATGACAAAGGTCAACATCTTGGATGCCTTTCTCTATATTCTGATTGCCCCATCCTCCCATTGTTTCTTGTGATTTGTTCACCAGAATCAGGAGTACCAGTTTTGAGCTCTTCCCTTTGGCATTGCTTTGGATCCTTTTGTCTTCATCTGGACCATGAGAGCATTTGATTGCCATGTCCATAGTCTTGGACTTCATTTCTATTATCACCTGTATGAGTGGCTTCTCCTCATATCTTCATGGGAGAACTCCATCTTGACCACATCACTTCTACTCCAAGAGGTGACTCATCTGGTTTGGCTGGTTAACTTATCCAAGTTGTTACTAACTCTGACTCAGTAGTTGGTTGATCTTTTTTTTTCAATTCTTGACTCAGTCATGCTTATCTTTCCCCAGTTCATCTATGGGACATGAAGCATCTAGATACCTCAACTCTTGCCTCTCTTATGCCTCCTGCACGAGAGGTTCAATCTCTTTTGGGGATTCTTATGTCTCTAGAACACATGAGGCTTCTTCAGTGGACTTTGAGCAACCAATGGAAAATTTGTTGTGAACCTCTGTCATCTCTTGTGATGTTGCTGCCTTTTCTTCTCAAGAATCTGTCTTGATGCTGGATCATGTCAACACTATGTTCAGCAGCCAACTGCCACCCTCCTGTCCAGATTTTTATCTCTTCATCAAGGCATCTTTTGTGGATTGGGGCATGTCTCTGGGTGACTCCATGGCTTCAGAGGATTGTTTTTTTGTGGAATGTACTTTCCACTCCAACAATTTTACTGTTATTTTCCATATTGGTCATCTGAGTGTGACTCGTTCTAGGGACCTCTGCTTCTGCACATTGGACTTTTTGTTTTGAGCCAGTTCACAGAGGGTTTGTTTGACAGTCTGTCATATCCTGGGGGATTTGAAATTAGTGGCACATCAACTTTCTCTTGACTAGACAGGATTATTCCTATAGAGTGGTCACTCCATTCTCAAGTATTTTGTAGAATTTATTCCTAGTGGGCATGCTAATGATCAGTGTCTTTGCCACTCCTCTCAGTACCAAACTTACCCTTTTTTTGGTCTCCAGTATCTCACCCAGCAGCTCTGGCTGTAGATGCTGTCAGCTAGGAATGGTCTCATCTCTTTCCATATGTGTACCCTCCTCTACACCTTCTCCCATGTCTTGGTCTTGATTCCTGACACACCTTGTCTGGTCCTGTTGGTAGCACCTTCTTGGCTAGCTCAGTCTTGGTTTCCACTTCTTAACTGACTGACATCCAGGGCAACTCATCCTCTGCCTTAATCGTGGCCACTCTTGCTTCAATATCGTATGTCTTTCATTCACCTGGGAGTGTCATTACTTCGTCTTTGTGCATGGGATTTGTCTTGCCCCTTGCTTGCTAGTTAGGTTTCTCTGACAATATAGCCCTCATTTGTGTTGCCCTTCTACTTTCTCTGTATATTAACAAAAGTGGTATGTTTTTCACTGTTCCTCTCTACCACCAGACTGTTGTACCCTATCTCACCTTTTGGCCTTTTTTACCCCTTTGTTCGATCAAGGATTGTTGGTTTCTACCATCACAGACTATGGGGTGGCCTTGTCGAATACTTTTGCCATTTTGGCTATGGTTCTCTCATTTCCATCCATGCTCTTTCCTCTTTGTTCTGGTTCTTCCTAATTCATCATCCCCCTCATCTAGTTCCTTTGCCTGACTGGAACCTTAATGTAGTTCTACGCTTTTACCCAGGCTTGTTTAAACCTTTGGGCGTGTTTTCCTTGTACCATTTCTCTCTTGAAACCTCTTTCCTCCTCCTTCTTGCTATGGTCATCTCAGATCTGATCATTTTGCATTGGATGTCTCCCATTCTTTCCTTCACGAGTCTACCCTTATTTTATTCCCTGACTGCTTGTTTCTTCCTAAGACTTTGGGAGCTCAGGAAGGAGATTGTACTTAATCTCCCATATCTCTTTTATCAATCTTGGCCCTCTTTTGATCAGACCATGATTGCCTGTTGTGTCCAGTTACTTGGCATGCACGACTCCATTTTGGAGTTCTCCCAATTGTTTATTCTTGCCATGGGACTCCTCTTCTTCCAAGGATCTCTTGTCCTCTTTACTTATCAGATAAATTTGTCAACTCATCCAGATAATCTGTTACTTCTTGGAAGGAGATGCTTGTTGGCTGTATCACATCAAATCTACCATTTGGCACATTCTGTGGCCTCACAGTTTCGACGACCCTTGGACGAGATTCTTCAGACAATAATGTGAACTACACCCAACACCTTTACTTCCATTTTTTCCATAAAGTGGCAGTTACATCTCCCACAGGATATTGCGTACCTGCAGTTATCATTCTCCAGTGTACTTACTGTCTCTAATGGATAAGTGCCTCTTTTATTTCCTTACCTGTTTCTAAGTTGCTCCCCTTCACTTCTTGGAACCCACCCAGTGGTCAGTTCTGCCTCACAGAAAGAAAGTAATGAAGAAAAACTTTAAGTTTAACATAACAGCCTCTGTACAACGTTTCGACAAGGTACCTGATGATGACAAAACCTTGTTGAAACATTGTACATTTATTATTATGTTAAACTTATATTAAAGTTTTCTCCATTTCCCATTCAAGCTGTCCCCAAGCATTATTAGTCTCAAAATGGGTTCCTCATCAGTGAACAAGCTCATTTTGCTTTCTTTGCCCTGTATGAGATGGATGAGGTTTCCCACGAGTGTTACCCTTCTATTAAGCTTTCCTCTTCAGTTGCCTTCACCAATGAGAGCTCATCTAGGTTTTCACAGTTGCACCAGCCCCTCCATCACATCAATGTCGGATTCTAGCTACTGTGTGCAAAGAGGTAAGTCCATCGTTTTGGAAGTTAACATTTTCCTTAACTGAAAATATATTTCCAATCAATACTTCTCTGCACACCTTCCCACCCTCCCTCCTCAATATGAAGTGCATTATTCTTGCCTCATCTAAGAATGGAGTTAATTTTGAATCCAATTGCTCATGGAGATCTACGGTGCATGGAGGATGTGTTGCTTTCCTATTGATGGAGGACTATTGTTGCATAATGAATACATCATGCACAAGCTCAATTCATTTTATAATATGTTTCTTAGGTGGGATGTAACTCAAGACTAGTGACATGTGCAAAATCTCGAAGGCAGATGTGTGAGGAATAGCTACTGTGTGCAGAGAGGTAAGTGTCTATTGGAAATACATTTTAAGGTAAGGAAAACGTTAAATGTATAATTATGTACATTATTCTAACAAAAGTATTGGTATAGCACATCCTCTGCTAGAATGGGCCCTTCTCAATCCAATTTACATGTGAATGTGATGGTGCACATAGATTAGCAGCTACCACAGATAGCCAAGTATAGTAAAGATACAGCAAACGAAAATTCATAGATTTTCAAAAATATATGGTTATTAGATGCAACACAGGTGTTATGAGTGTTCAAGACATTTCAATCAACTACTCATATCTAACGTTACTGTGGAGAATGTGTTGATATTGAACAATATAAAAGCAAAAAATACAGAAATTCTCATGTAACATCATAATCTTTGATGCTAAAGATTTGCATGTAATAATATACATCTAATGCTACAGAAAATATGTCCAAGTTGCTATTCTACTCATGCAATTTTACATTATGTTTCTATATATATATTCTTAGTTTTTTTTCATTTGCCTTGTATTGATAATTCTGCTTGTTCGTATATGTAAGTTTGCATTGATATGGAAAGATAACAGTGAAGTTGAGATTTTGTTGAGTTATAATGGTTAGCTTAATACCACTGTATAAGAACAATGTTGCAGGTCCTGTATTGCCTTTAGAAAACTCCTCCATGATTAGTCCTGTTTTCTTAAGGGTATGAATATATATTAGTGGCCATCACCACAATTTCCATTATAACATACTTCTGTAAAGGATGGTGAGGGGAGATTTAAACCTCTCATTCTTACAGACCCTCTCTTTGTGTGGACTGGCTTCCAAGACACTATTCTCAAGCAAACCAAAGACACAAAAGTCCATTAGTGCTTACACTAGTTGACTTGACAGGTTTTTCTGGAATGGGATTGCTATGATTATAAACATAGGTGTTGATTTGAAGGTGTTACTGTAAGTTTGTGAAATGTTAGCTTCTTTTCCTATTCTACTCCTTCTTTATTATATTCGTAATGGTACCAGGTGATATGCCTAGTGTCATCACGATAGTTTTTTGAGTCAGGGGATTTTCTTTCATAAACATAACCTTCACTTTGCATATGAAAGTTTTTGTCTTGATTAGTTTATCTGCATTGTAACTATGTTCCTCCGTGATTTGTCTATTCTCATGGAGAACATTTAACTTTGCGTTAGTACCCTTGCTATATGGCACAACCTTCATACCATAGGGTTGCACCACTCCCAACTACAAAAAAAACATGTTAAGTTTTATCAGATTGTTAATATATCTGTGTGTGCATTTAAAGTAAACATCTTGTGAATGATTCCCTAGAATATTGTTCATTTTTTTGGTAGTGTTAATAAAGGAATAATGGAAAATATCAGATATTTATGCTTGATATCACTTTATTTATAAAAAAGTAAAATTATTATTTTTTATCTAAACATCTTCCTATGGATTATTTTGAACTAAAAACATCATTTGTTGGCCAACATCAATGAAAATTCCTTACATTTAATCTAACCTAACTGCTTACTCAGAATCTTCTATATCTGATACCATTTTTCGACACTGAAAGCACTGGATATAAACTTGACTGAGATCTGACTGTCTTCAAGCTGATCATATTCACTCTCACTATTGTCTTCAAGTTCACTCTCATTGGGACAGTCAGCCAATGTCTGCCTAATTCTCTCATCTTCACTGTCTCCATTCATCTTCAATATAATAAAAAATAAGAAATTGCCCTCATAAAAACCTAATATTCTCCAAAAATTTTACTGAAGCAAATATTGTTTCATATTTAGCATGTATAAGTTCTAAAACTTATTGTGTCATAAATGATAAATAATAGAGAGATAGTGAATCTGGGAAAGCACTTTGGTTTTGTACTATGGGGTATTTTGATCCCCAAGCCACAACAAACCACGTGTTGCTCCCAGCTCAGCTGGGGTAGAAATGGAAGAAACTAGTTATGTGCTCTATTGGCAATTTTAGGAAGCTACTAGGAACAGTAAAAAGGACTCAGTGCTCCTATCTGTTTGTGAGATTGTTTACAAATTTTTTGGGATAGAGAAAAAACCCAGGGAATGAACGTAGGGTTAAGGCTCTCTTCTTCAAAATAGTGTTCTTTGGCTCAATATGTGTCTCATTTATAAGTCTTGTTACATGTATATCCTTTCTTGGAAAGGTTTGGACATTTTCCTCGAGCCACAAGTCAACCATGACGGGAATACATTTTTGAATGGCTGATATTTTAACCATGATATATGTGTGCTAAATATTGCTCATGGTGCCAAAACTTGCATGTATGGTGACACACAATTGCATTAACACGTAAAAAAAATTATTCATTGTAAGTGTGATTAAAGCTCTGTAATAGAGGTAATAAGCAATATATATGTATACTTCAGTTTTTGTAACCAGCAACCCAAAAAGTGATTTTATTTTTATGAACTGTGTAAATACATAGTACATTTCAATGTAGCAAAATAAAAGTATTGCCTGGGAGGAAATTTCTAAGCAGCTATTCAAACAAGGTTTCTAGGGAATAGTAAAGACTGTACTTTATAATTACTTGTGTGCAATGTACATGTATTATGTGAACAGGCATCATACTGCCTGGAGTTTTTGCTTTCTGAGTACCCACAATCAATGAAGGTTAATGCAATTGTTCTTTTTTTTTCTTTTTTTTTATTGTTCTTTTGTTAAAGATATCAAACGAAACAGTATATAAATGATAACTAATGTTCAAAGTGCATGTTTGACACCTAAATAATATGGGGTATTTTTCTTTGTTTTACAGTATCAAGATAACTGAAATATCAAAATGGTATTGTTTCTTTGAAATTCTGTGTTCTTTTATTCAGAAGAATAAACCCATACAAGAATATAAATGTAAAAAAAAAAATGCTTTTAAAATCTATTTCTTCAATGCAGTAACAGTACCAGTCATAGTAAACGTTTTTTTATTTCTTCCAACTGAAACACTTAAAAATTCTCTTGCAATACATGAAGATCTGAAAAAATATGAAAAATAGTTTTTTTGTACCAATTTAAAATTAACCACTGTTATGTTAATGAGCTCAAGACTACCTTACCCTGTAGTTTTTACTATTTTCACTAAGGTTTATCTTAATTTAAATCTATGTGGTATTTTTGTGTTGTTTTCAGCTTTGAGTAGTGAGACCTTAGAGTCTTTTAAGAAAGCATTCTATGATGACCCGAAAAATCTATTGGCACAAAATGCTTGCAGCACTCGGGATCCTCTAGAGGTCTGCCTTCTAAGAAAAACTTCAGAAAAAACACAACATGTATATACAAATAAGGTAAAAAATATACAAAATACATACAGTTTTTGGTGGTATTTTTTGTGTTTGTGAAGTTTTTGGAGATTGTTAGGTAATTTGACTATTGAGAAACAACATGTATATGCAAAGTAAAAAGTTTTATGGAATGTGTGAAATTTGGATGATGTTTCTTTACCTTTGAGAATATTTTTTTGTGTATTAGATATTCAAGTAGATTCTTTTAGGATTGACAGACATCCTAGACTTAGTGAGAAACAAGATGTGTTGGAGAAATGTAAATAAGAAATTTACAACAAACTTTTGTGAAAATTGCTAAATGCAACTAAAAACTGAGGAAGTTTCATATATTTTAGGTAATATAAAGATAATAGAATTATATTAAGAATTATATAAACAAATCTCTTAGTGTTGATTGATCATATGAACATTAATCACAGACAATATCTCAAGGTAAAATAGTAATTATATATAATTATCAGATTTATCTGTACAGTGATTTTTTGTATATATATATATATTATTCAGAGCTGTTATTCATTTGCTGTTCATACAAAATATTTTTAATTTTCATACTCTGATATACACTTATATAGCCTAAAGTTCTTCATTCTTAATGTACTTTTCTCCTTCTATCAATACATCTTATCTGGGTTGATATTTTACACAAATATTATACTCAAATACACACAAACCATTTCTATAAATGTCATCTTATTATGCTTAAAGTTTTTATTATTTGTATTAAACAATCTTAAGTTTCTGTTTGCTCATTTCAAGTTATATGAGTTATTTGAAAAGAAAACCTACCAACATAGAGAAATATCACATAGAAAATAAGAGTTTATATTCAATTTGCATGTGAGTGTTATACAAGAACGTCCAGTTAGATTTTAAAACATCTTTACAGACTTCATTCAGAAACATTACAGAGTATAAACAGATTCTATATTCAGCTCTCCTTTAAGCATGTTAGTACAAGTTACAACATTATGTAACATTTTAAATGTGTTATTCTTTTGTGTTGCAGGTAGAATGTGAAGGTAAGCCTGTTACAGATCAAAAGAGTTCTGGTCGCTGCTGGATTTTTGCATGCCTAAATGTCATCCGTCTCCCTTTTGTCAAACATTATGAACTAGAAGAATTTGAATTTAGCCAAGCATTTCTCTTTTTCTGGGATAAGGTTAGTATCAGGTTCTCATGCATATAAAAAAGTTAATAGAAAAATTTGCTTATAGCCTCATCAAGGATTTTAAAAGCACTTGTCCTTGGCACAAAGGAATCAGTAACCAGAGGAATACCAATTTAGTTGTTTTTATATACATTAGTTTATATTCAACATACTATATTGATATAGTATATATGTGTATTTTGTTGGTCAACAGCAGAATTTAAATTGTTTTCATGTACATTATTGTATATTGAATATATTACTGTAATGGTTTCTATAATTGGATGGGTTATTTTTCATTATTATCTAAAAATCATGCATTATCCAGTACATTTAATGAAAAAGAAAGCATTTTATTTCTTCTTCTACTACAAGTTATATAAGGTCACAATGTAATAGGCCTAACTCACAAATATAATTAAACAGTCAGTTGTAAATTCCTCTCATATCTATGGCAGAAACTCAAAACTGGCTGGCTTACATACTCCGCAACTCAGTAATTAATTGACAACACTATAAAGGATTCACTTACTAACTAATTAGATCAGTGACTGGTCAACAACAAGTAATTCTCTAGTGCAATATTTTTGTTTTCCAACTCTCAAGGAAACTTGAGTTGTCACATGCTCATTACATCAAATACAGACACTCAGGAAATTTCTAAGTTTCACATATGATCACTGTCTTTCAAACATTTCTCCTAGCAAACAATAAAAGGGTATCAAAATTAAAATTTTTGAAACAGTTTATACCAAGGCTATATGGTGGGAGGGATGTTTTGTTGGTCTATTTGATGGTTTAGTAAAAATAAATTGATAAAACAGATATAAATTACTACTGTGATATACAGTGGGCCCTCCTCCAACATGGGGGATATGTTCTTCAAGGAAACCAAGTTGGGCAAATCCGTGTTGGAGGAACTTAATACTTTATAGGATTAGTGGAGATACGGGAACACAGCCACGTTAAGTCTCCGATAAATGCTTATATATGGATTTTTTTTACATGTTAATGAAAGCCCTACCTATGCAGTATTGTATATGAACTAAAAATATAAAATCATAAACATAACATTCACATGTGATATCCTGCACCTGTAAATGAAAATATTTTTTTTACACATTAATGAAAAGCCTTACCTGTGCAGTATTTTTATGAACTAAAAATATAAAATCATAAACATAACATTCACATGTGATATCCTGCACCTGTAAATGAAAATATGTTATATGCAATAATACAGTACTGCGTTTTATTGTAACACTCACCTATGAATAATGAAGACGAAGACCATTTGTTGATGAGAGGAAT